AAACATATGACTCATTTATTCGCATCAGATGAGCAGTTTTGCTTTGCGTAACGAACATCTGGGGACTTGGACAAGCCGGCAGACTGTTCATCCCAAATAGCTCGACTTAAGGTTGTGCACTGTATTACGGATAATTAAGTGAAGCTGTGAAAGCGGCAAGTTCAATTGTGGTGATCAGCGTGTGCACAAGGGGTTGGCAGTTGCGCAGCTGTGACCATTCCAGTCCTTGTGCTGAAGCCCTGTGGAGTATGCTCGCACAGGGTTGTCTAGACCGGAACGTGGTGTCATGTGCTCCATAGAAGACAACGAAAGCGGCTTTCCTGTTTTCTTCGTGTCCGGAAAAGAGTGATTGCCTCTCATGTGCGATCCCAATAAAGTGGGCAAAAAGGACGCGTTTTTCAAGGTGGAATAGTCTCACACCTCTTAACCAAACTACACACATATCACGCATTAATCTTAAAGCACTAATTTCCCCCATCCACTTGACAAAGGGTGGTAGTAGCGCGCAGGATGTCCACTACGTTGACAGTTCATTCGGAATCTTGTTTTATATTAGGTAGCAAGATTGATGTCAACAAAAAAGCGACTGAAAACACCTTGTACTAAAGCGCATACAGTCTCATGCTCTCACAATTTATTAGTTCAGATGTAAACGAAGTGGGTGTCAACTTTGATCGCCAGGCGTTCAAACAAGACAACATTACTAGAAATGCTTTGTTGAAAGATTACCAGCTTCAAAGTGGCTTGACCTAATTTACACACATGCAAGTGAGTAAACCGTATTGATTTCTGTCCTCGGATTTTGGCCTGACGTTGCAACATATCAGGGTTATTTCAAACCAAACCCGATCACTTGGGCAATTCCATCAGTTTTTTTTCTGTTTTTCTCAATTCTGGAAGAGCAGTTCACAACCTGATCAAAGCTCATTGGGCAGTTAAAGAGGAAGTTGACTGCCTATTGTTCGTTTTAGCTCTATTACTAAGTGGTCGCGGGGCCCACTTATGCATTCGGCGCGTACAAACCTACTCAGTTTGTCAATAGCGAAAATTTTTGGTTCAGGACTTCAAATGCTTGCAGTGTTTGGTACGGTCTGTCAGGGTAACCCCACCTGAACAATCACCGGGCGCAAATTAGTATCCACTATCCTGTCTTTGTTTTGCTGACTTTCGTTCGGAAGAAAGCCTACCTCTGGAGAGCGAACCTCTCTAAGAAGCGGCACAGTCGAAGGACTGTACTGAACCATACCTTACAAAAGAGAACGGCCTACAGACGAAGTCTTTCACTCTTTGACGAAGTGGCTTTTACGCCTCACCAATTTTAGGTCCAGGGATCAAGTGAAACTTGAAAGCGCTGAAATTGGTGGACTACAGTAAACAGATATAAGCAGACGCATCTTTCAAGTACGGTCACGTCACACCTAAACACATGCATCTTGTCAAATTGTAAATCAATGGACGAGAAGACATCCTGCAGAGAATTATACATTCGAAGCCTCCTTTACCACGTCAACTCTAAAGTTTGGCACCTTAAAAATTAAGTTGTCACAGATGGAGCAGTTAAACGCGTCTTTCCTTGCCTGTCGAAGGGAGAAGGTACTGCAAGCGATCACGAATTAGCAATTGGGCGTGATCACGTTTCCGACAGGTGTGATTAATCACCTGTACTTTTTCACCATAAAAGCGTGTTATATCTCTTCCTTCCAGATAAAAAAACATCATAGATGACTCTTCATTAATCAGTATTGATTTGTGAAACGATTGTTTTGCAAAAAAACCTGAATCTCCATGTATTTACTACGCTTGGTATTCATGCTAACCCGCTGATGTTAACTTACAGATCACGCAACTTTTTACGCCCATACTGCTAAGGTATTAATCTAATCTATTGCTGTGGAGAAAAGGTGTTTTCGCTTGTTCAGGACAACAGAACTATCTACTGGGGTACACATAGTCTTTTGTGCAAAACGACCTCAACGGTGCCGTTCACAATTTGCCAAACAATGTGGGGAAAATCGAATAGTTTGAAGATGGAGAAGTGGTTTGCGGAGTTTGACAACTTTGTGCAATCGAGGTGACGTCACTAGTACACATTTGGGTGCTTTGCGACGTAAGCCTCAGTCCCGCACCTAATGGATACGGCCTCTATGATTTTGGTTAGGGAAATTTACCACGAGCTGTACGAGACTTGTACGCGGAAAGTGCTAATAACGTCATAGCTAAATGCAACTGTTCACACTGCCGATCAGTAGTTCGGGGCTAGATGACACAATGCTCAACAGCTAATCAGTATGTCACCAGTTCGAATCCACTCAGGCTGCCGACAACTGATGATTCTCAAGGAAATCAAAGGTATGAGTTGAGTTTACTTGAGGGGGGAAATTCCACTCGAAATTAAGACAAATCTCAGCGCTCATTAGCAGTCTAAGTCCGGTGGAACTTTCCTTTGATTTACTGAGTGTGACAGGCTGAAATTTTGTCAACACTGGGAAATGGAACGTCGATCCGAACGTCAACCAGCTCCTCCACACTTAATTGGCCAGCTGATTGCGCCAACCGCAACTGGGCACCAAGCACCGGCTGCAAACCTTCGACGAACTGGTCCAACAGTAACTGGTGGTGCGACACTCCGTCCAGCGCCCGCAAAGCGCGATCCAACAACTGCTGCAGGCCGGCGAAGAACACGGTCGGGTCAGATCCAGGCGCCATCCTTGCTGTCTCGAACCGACTCCCGGTGGTCGGCCGGCATGTCGAACTCCGCTGCAAGGGCTTCCTTCGCAGCGGCCCAGTCTATCTTCCGAGGGCCTCTTCTGGCCGCATCCAAGGCCGCCTTCGCCCGGCCCCTGAGGAGAGTCATCAGCGTCGCCGACTTACCCCGATCGGTCTCCAGTCCGGCAGCCTCCGCAAGCTCCTCAAAGTCCTCCAGGAAGGTCCGAACATCCCCATTCTCAAAGCGTCGCGGCCACGGGATCTTCATTCTTATCCTGGTCACGGCACCAAATGAAACGTCTTCATTTCTAGTTATTTTTACTTTTATTCGTTGCGTACCGGCCATTCTCTTGGGCAGTGCGATTTCGTCGACCTATCTGTAGTTTCACACGCCTGCCTCTTCATTTCCAAAAGCCACTCATAATCACTTCCAATCATAAACCCTTTCTACTCTTTTGGAAAGATGTACAAAGCTGTGTATCAACTAAACAGGCGCATGGTTAATGCAGAAAGTTGTAAAGTCTGTCTTTCACTTTAATCCCAACTACGTGTGTGATGCCTGTGAACTGACCACAATTCGACAGTTTTCCCCAGAAAACCCATTCGTACATCTTTCCACCCACAGCTGAACTTCCTTGGCTATTTACTTTATATTATCCGTACAAGAAGAACTATGCAAAGGCGCACGGTGGCATCTCAGTTGGGGAAGCGACATACAGTCAATGGTTTGCAGTGAACAACAGTGTCCTCGTCCCTGAAATTAACCTCGCAGGTCTTATCTAAAGATCCCTGATATGAGATGACCAACAGCAGTTTGAAGGGACACATTACGCCAACAAATCTCCTCGGTGCAACGCTGTACTTTCTTTCCTGAGAAGTCCCGACTACGGAGAACCTGGATGAATTGATTTCGATTTGAATCCACTGGAGAAACTGGGCGTTGAAATTATTGGCTGAAGAACGATAGAAGGCTACGAAAAATAAGGTATGAGTAAAAACCACGATAGACTGTCGGACCAATGTGAATGACGTGGATTCTAAAACATTTAATCTCCGTTTTTCTGAGTTTGAATGCCTTTTCCTCAAAACTGGTAGGTCCCCTGCAGTGGTTTCAGGGGTTCCGTATGCCATGCAGACTTGGTGACAAACTATTATGCCAACAAGAAGCCGACCAAAACACTGGTTGTAATTTAGTGATCGCCTTGCAAGTGAGTTCACGGTCTGAGCATGTTTGGTTTTTGTTTGCCAGGGTCCAAAAGGCTTTAAAATTGAACGTAAAAACATCAAAGAGAGGAATCATTGTTTTTAAAGGGGGAATGCTGCAGCAAAGGAAATGCGAAAATTCACTGTCCCAAACCCTGTGTCGACATATGAATCCACAGTGTGAGGCTTGTCTTCAGTTTGCTTTAGATGATCACGTATTCCTTTTCTTTACAACTCATTTCTCTACTTGTTTAACGGTGATACTACTGATGGAGAGGCACGCGAGTAGTATGTGTTTTTCGTAGAATTTCGCTTTGCGTCTATTGAAAAACGGAGATCTGTTGCGGAATTAGTGGAGCCACTTTGTAACATTTGCTTGGATTTGACCGACGAATGAGTGGAGTCAATGAATCTCCAGGAAAGTTCACGAAGGCCCGTTCGGGAGAAGATCGGTGTCCAGTTTTTTAACTAAGATGCAGATTAGACTTTTGCTTCCCTGTTCAATGGTCTGTAACCGGTCAGTTGGCATTTCCGAATAAATAACTCCGCAGCGTAGGCCTTCGTCCCCTTACTTGTAGCGTTTGTATCGATCTTGGTGTCTCTGCAATCCGTTTTCCAGACATTACAACTTTGGAATCCTGCGAAACTGGTTAGTTCTGGTCAAATTAACTCAGTATTACGGCTTGCTGGCTACAATCTTTGGGTTCCATTGCTTTCCTGACGGTTTTCATTGGAAAGTTTAGCGTTATTCCATAAATTCCGAAGTCACTGGGTACACATACGTCCCATTTTCTCCTGTGTGTAATACATTTTTATCTGTCTTTATACCAGCTTCTATCAGTGGGTTGACAGCTCAGCTGCTCAACAAGATAATAAAACAGTTGTCCAGCGGTAGCACCCTTTCGGTGCTTAGCTGCCATGTCACCCCAAGGGAGCACGAGGGCTGGGGTACTGTCAGGTTGCCCAAGCCTTGACAGGGAAGTCGAGAGACGGAGGTCAGGTTCGAACCACGGCCTCCCGGTCAGAAGATTCGTGCTCTAACCACTGAGCCATCTTGCCCAACAAGGACAAGACGTTTATCTGATTCCGTCATGTTTGAAGTTTCTTCCACACTGGGTACACTTATGAGAAGATGGATGCTTCGAAACGCTGCAGAAGTGATTAAACACTGTAGGCTATTTCACACTGAACGAGATGAAGCTGTTACCGACGCGAACGAGGACACCTTTCTCGACGGCATGAACGATGCCACGACGGATGTGCGGGCCGAGTTTCTCGACATCAATCTTGTGGTTGGCGCCGATGAACTTCTTGATGGTCGGAAGTGACGTGTTTTTTCGGTCCTTCGCGGCGTTGATGGAGGCCTTCACCATGTCGATTACCGGTGGGTGGTTCGCTGGGATCTTGGGCTTGGCTGACTTGGGTGTCTTCGATACGGATGGAGCAGAAGCTCTCATTCCCCTCGTGAGATGTTTGCCGCAAACGAAGACACACTGGTTGGTTGACAGTGGATCGACCAACAAATACGGTCACAAGTGAATCATACATATAGAAAGTTGTAAGTTTCTTCTGGTCGCCTTCTCGCCTTCTGACTATAACCCAGTAGCGTCAGGGAAGGTGAAGAGATACAACAGAGTCACAATCACAGCAAAAGCCTACGCGTAATGCGTGTATTCAACTTCTAAAATCAAAAGACCACCGTGGATGTAACACCGGTACAAGCAGATTGCATCAGGAAACGTACTTTTTATCAACAGCTAGTCCGTATCCAGAAGTATCTGGCATTCAGGTGCATTCACCAGCTAGTCGATAAATACCGCAGATAACCCAGCCAAGTTGACAACCGAAGCAGTTAGCATCGAAAAACTAACAGCTGATTACACACCATGCTAAACGTATGCGCACATGTAGCTCTCCAGCACTGGTGTAATAGCCTAAACATAAAAACTGTCCCCTGCCGTCAGCTGTATTTGATGCGAAAGAAGCATAAAGTCGCTGACATTGAGTCCGATGGATATTAGTACCGCCAATCACGATTCACCCGACATTCTACTAGCTACACCCAGTCAGGCAGATAACGGTCTAGATCTCCCTCTTATGGTATCTGTTAACTCTCATGAATGAAACAGAGTTAAACCCGTCTTGGTTGACTAGCGGTATCTGTTGTAAGTTCTGCATCATAGAATCTCCAACCCTTCTAATCGGGGTCGCTAGTCGACTTTTGGTTGAAGGAATTGAATAAGTGAGCCTCGAATACCTTCCTTCTACAGTTTACTCAAAACTAATAAAAAAATAACTAAAAAAATCTTACCTTCTGTGATCCACCCTTCTTTTGGAATCTCAAGTTCCAAACTAACTGCAGCTTGGCGGGGCGCACACATATTGTCGTAGAAAACCGAATCAACCAGTCGTATTATTCAACGACTTCGAGAGTTGCTTTTAAACTACATCCTTACAATACGCGTATCATTTGTTGTTCGACCTAGGAGAGACGCGCGGTAGACAGTCCTCGGATGAACAACATCATTCGAGCCTATAGAAGTACTAAGTGGTTCGCAACATCGTGCTTTTGTTTTGAGGCACCCGGTTGTACGGTTGCCTTCACTGCTACCTCAGATTCAGTATGCATGCATTGTGCTGTCTTTTCAGCTTGAATACTTGTCAATGGACTTTAGCACTATTTTGACGATATCTTAATAGCCGTAGACATGTCCGTACTACCAAGTTTTGCGACTTTTTCATTCCTACCTTAAATTTGTTAGGTACCACTGGTATTTTGTCACACTGTTGTACATTGGATTCTGTTTTATCATTTTTTCTTTGATGTTCATCCTCCTAGCTGTTTCACTCCTGGTGCAGCGAGTTCGGCTGAATGGATGCAAAGATAAGCGCTACTTACTACGCACGGAGTCAGTCGACATCGTTTGATGTGCCAGGCGAATCTGTAGACGTACTAGCCTGATCCTCTTATTCTCACAGACTAATCCGATGTCTCGGTGATTCTAGGGACACAACACTTCATTGCATTCGCTCTTCTAAATTGTTTAACCTTAGCTCAAATTTTCCTGTAACGCACTCACTGAATGTGTGGTTGTCCTCCAACTCTCCATCAAACGACAAGGGCAGTTCTGCACTTTACCAGGTTGCCTCCAAAAAAGTTAGGCCTGTGTCTGGTTCGTCGATAAATTGTCCAGATGACTTGGCAATATGAAAAGGACTAGTGAATTTTCTTCACTTGTGAGACCAACAAAACCGGAACTACACGCGGTCAACTAGGGTCATCATTCGCTGACCAGAGGTGTGAGAATAGACGTGAGATAATTGGATTCAGAAAGGACAGAGAAGAAACAGCGGTTGACGATTACCCACAAGTCTGCGTGCACCTTCCTGAAGGCGATTGAAACGTCCGTGTATGAAAAACTCTGTCCTTAACGTTGTTTTCTCGCCGTTCTGCATCTATCCGTTGGCTGTACGTTGGTTTATCTCCTCACTATTTTATGTCGTTAGCTCTGGACATTTTAAATCCAAATTTAAGTTGAAGCGACCCCTGTGAACGCTTAAAACCCCGTCAAATATAATCGTCTGCTCTCCTTCGATTTTCCACCGGTCTCCAGAGCTCCCCACAGCTTTTCTTACTTACAAGTAGAAATTTACATTTGTTGACTGCTACAGCTATGCGAGAGCTTGGCCGCTTACATGATATCCGTTTTATCAAAATGTAGGAACTTGTTTTCATCACCGAAAGACTTTTCGGACTGAGTGGCCTTATTCTATTTAAACAAAACCTGCATTTATCCTTATTTTCTACGCCTTTCTAACGTCAACCCGACCGCCTTACTTCCAATCTTTCCAGTAAGATCACGTGATTTGAATCACGTGATTTGAATTGTATGTGTGAAGCTGTAACTCGTCTGAGTAAAAATCAATCGAAGTTGCACTGAAACGGAAAATGCATGCATACGCCCATATTTCCTCAAGTTCATGCAGAAAGTTCATCGTGTCATAATTAACCTCCCATCACTGGTTGCTTAAAACATCACAAAAGAGAGATTTAGTTGGGTTCCAGGTTTAGTTGCAACCATTGGTCATTTCTTGGCTCATGCGGTGAGATTCCGCAGGAACTTTGACCGATTGAAGAAAGACAGTTGAAATTCCTACGATGAAAAAAATATGCCTGACCATGAAATGCAATCCGGCATGTTTCAGACTCGTCCAGGGAAAATAGCAGAATCGGTCACGTGCCTCGTTGGTTACTTGTTCCCACTGTTCACTGCTGTCACATGGCCGCCAAGCAGTAGGCGTATCAGTGTGGTTAGAAGTCACGTGACACATCGGTGAACAGTCAAAAGTTTTCACCCAAGAGATGTGACTGACGCTAGTATATCCGGTTCGCCTGATAAAGATGATTTACGTAGTGGACTGCCTTTCAGGACTAACTAGATCCTGCTCTATGAATTTCCTTCCTATTTATTGCAGTTCCTGTAGTTATGGTCTTTTGTCGATTTTATGATATTAAGCTGTGACATCTTGAAAAGCGCAATCGTTTTGGTGCTTCTGGAAAGATTGAAAAATAAGGCTTCTCAAGATGGTAATTATACCCAAAATTATGGAAATCATAGTAGAATTCATCAGCCGTCGTCGCCCAAGGCTTCTTCTGATGTGACTGCCGTAAAACGGCCTAGCCTTGCACGATTTGGTTCACGTACTGTGTAGCAGAAACCATGAAAGAGTTTACATTCAAACAAGAACACAAAAGTTGTTGCAGTTCTGTCGGTTCAACAAAGCGACCGAACGATGTCTCATCTGAGTTCTGCGCGGTGTTTCCGAAAGAAGTTCACCAGTGAAATACACTCGAAAAGTAATCTGTTCTTCTGTGGGACGGTTTCATCACAAGAAACTATCGTATTCTGTTCTTGTGATCGATGTGTGAGCAATAGCTGACAAGTCAGTGTCGTCTTGAGGGACGTTGGGCAACCATCGGTCGGAGGCAAGGACTTAGATGAATCTTACGTCTGTTAAGGAGTATACTTCTTGTTGAGTCAAACTGTACTTCACACAGAAAATCTTTCATGAGCTCGATAGACTTAGGTTTCACCTCAAGACTGGATATCAGAACTTCCTTGCTCAATATGTGCGTCCAGTACACCTTTTCCCATTCGGAATCTTGTCCTGTAAGGCAAATTTAATCCAGGTGTAAGGCTGATGAGTCCTGCACAGATTTGTATCCGTCCTGGGAGGTTTCGATGTCGCAGCCTTTTCTATGGATTTTCAACAAAATGCTAACTATTCAGCTACTCATAGTTGGTCGCAAAACTGATCTCTCTCTCTTGATTGGAAACGCATCTCCACCTAATGTGTGTACTATTTTCATTCCAGCGTATCGCATAGGTGGTCAGACGCCTGATTTAATACCTCTGACCAGCTTAATAGTTCTGAATAAGTTTGTAATATTACTTTAACTTGCACAAACGTTACTAGATTGCCCTTGCTGATGGTAGAAATGTCTCCGAACTTCTAAACTTGAAACGAAGTAGCGACATTGAAAAGGTCACAGAATACAGTGCAAATAAATAATAATACTATGTACTAATAACAACAATAATATAACACAATATAGTGTATTAC